ATTGTGCATCGATCAACAGCATATCTCGAGGTACGCGAGGACTATGTACTTGTATCATTTATCTCATCTATAATAGTTAATAAAGATATATAATCTTATGTAGTTTATGCTGAAATACGAGGATTTCTGGTGCAAGAAATTACCCTAAAGATCATAGTCTGAACCATTAAACAAATTTCCAAAATTGTATATTTTAAATAGAAATATTTTTAAAAGGATGCATACTACGTAAAGATTCATTAACTATTCTAGTTACAATGAAAGTTTAAATATTCATATGATAAATTTATTTTATGAATGTGTTCTTTATTACCTATTTCTAATCAGTCAGTAACAACGTAGAACATTTCGTACGTACATACATCATTTCGAGTTGTCATACCACGTTAGCACATAGATACAATTGTCGATTCAAATCCCATAGTGGTACAGATAGTAAAAGTATGAGCAGTAATCGGAAAGATTAAGATTTGAAGATGTTATTCATGGAGTATAATCCAGTGAAATAAATTTGGAAAGAGGAAAAATAGGGAACATAAAGAATTTAGAACATTAAAATTTGTGAAAACACAAAGAGTGGATGCACCTACACCATTGCAAACCATTTTGATCTATATCATTCAAAATTTCTAACCATCGGTTATTATCATCTCACGGATCTCAACCAGATAGTTTACACTTACCAACATGGCTTAGTCCTTTTTCTAATATCTAATAATAATTATGACATACCGAATTTTCCTTCTTTTTATATTTTGAAAAGAATGTAAGCAAATTACTTTTAATGTATACTTAAAACCCTGTGACCCAAAAAAAGAAAAAAAGCATTAATGATATTTTTTGTTGTTGTCTTACATTTTAGTTTTCATCATTATTTAACTTTTCTTAAAATGATTTTTCTATTAGATATTTATGTTTTCTTAAAAAATGAAGGAAAGAAGGAAAGAAACTGAAAACAGCTGTTATTATTAGCTTCTTGTACTTTATGAATAATCTAAAAGGTTCAATTTTCTTTCTGCTTTTGTTTTTCTCTTTTTTTTTAGTTTTATAAATTGAACATGTAGTTTCAATTAAAATGAATTCTTTTAAAAAATATCTTAGAAACAAAAAAATATTACAGTAATTCACTAGGGAGAGAGAGAGAGGGAGAGGTGGACAGAGAGAGAGAGAGGGGGTGGTAATTTCGTGTTTACATTTATAAATGATATTTATTGAATATATATATATTCTAATATTGAGTAAATTTGATTCATATAAGATCATTGTTATATAAAGTAGACAAGGAAATAGAAATCGAAATGAACCATTTATCAATTATTTGTTTGAGGATCCTGTCAGTGTTACCAGTATCATGTATAATAGATTGTTATTTAGTGAGAAAAAAAAATCATATTCAAACGATGGAGAATGAATTATTTTTTTCAAATATTCATCTAATAGTAAACATTGTTGAAGAAGTTTTAAAACCATTGAATCTTTAATTCTTAAGTTTCAACTTATAAAGATCTTCAATTCATGTCTAGATTATCTTAGTTTTTATTATTAAACATTACATTTTGGTATATCATTTTTCCAATGTGATCTAGCTTCAATTAAATTATGATCTTAAGTGTTAAAACTACTATAATATCCACAAAAATCGCTTCTGATACTAATCAGTATATGCTCACTAGTGACTGGCTTCAAGAAGTATTTCCTGGAGTTCTAGTGAGAAGCAGTAACCAGTGAAGTTTAATCGGGTCTATTATGAGATAGTAACTCACTGATGACAAGGGTGGATGTGTGGCTCAATTTCGTGGATTAGTTGAAGTTAGATATTAACACCGTTGGATGCCGGTCGACTCAGTGTTCATACGAGTCGATAGATCCCAAAATGAATTTCGCGGGGCGAGATCGTGAATGCGTATTGCTGAGGAGTCCTAATTATTACTGGGAAACATTTCCCTAGTTATTGTCATGATCTGCATTTATTGCGTTTATTGATGTATTGCCATTTATCAATGAAATTTTGGACACATTTTTATTTGTTCATCCTAGTCACCTATGTTTTTAATGCATAGAATTGCAGTATTTCTTTCTGTTAATAAATTTATCCATAATGTATTCCGAGATGATGGAGAAAATTTGTAGTTAAGGTGTATGATTTTGATGTAGTTTTGTACTCTGAGCTAGATGTTTTGGCCGTGTAGGTTTCATCGTTCTTCTGAACGACATCATCATCAGCAAAAACTTCAGATCGAAGTGAAATGTTCGAATTTCTCTTGTAGACCTAGATCTACAGGAAAAGCAGTGAAACATATGTAGACAAATTTGAACGCTTCACTTCTATCTGAATTTTTTTGCTGATGATGATGTCATTCAGATGAACAATGAAAGCTCCATAACCAAATCATCCAGTTCAGAGAACGAAACTCCATCAAAATAATGTTTTCGCTTTTCAAATGAGGAACTCATTATTTTCTTTCTATTACATTTCATAATGTAGTTTAAGAAAAAAAAACATATGACATTGACTTAGGTCAGTACTTTTTCAATTGTTTTTTTCCCTAATGATTTTTTCATAGTTTAAAGTTGTATTTCCTAACTTATTAGATAAATGAATAAATGCTTTTTCTTGTTCATTGTTATATTTTCTTATGAATTTCAGGGTTAGTTTGTAAGAAACACTATATTATACCAATAAAACTTCTTTCTAGTTTATAAAAATAGCGTATAAAACGACTAAAATGTCTTTTTTGCATTTCCTCTATCTCTCTGTATGTGTATGATGTTGGATGAGTTGCATTATATACTTGAGATATTATAAGCCGTAGATTTCCGCTAGTCTAGGCGTGAATCTGATGTGATAATAAATGATCAGATGACTGTAATACACCGACATTTCAAATGACACTCAATAATTTAGACAGAATATTTATAGAAAAAAACACTTAGTTCAATATATGTAGGCTTTTAAAATATTCATATGTACAACTATAGTATACAATTGATCTAATAGGTTATTAGAAGTGATAAAAAATACACATAAAAAGTAATCAATAATACCAATATATTAAAGTAACCAAAATTTATAAGTTTTTAATGAATTACACAAGCTGAGTTGATTAAAGATATACATTGTTGAATGCCGGTTTAGTGGTCTAGAGGTTAAGTGTTCTCATAAGACCAAAGGTCATAGGTTCGAGTTCCGTGTGCAGGATGGTGGACGCGTACTATTGAGAAGTTCTATGCTAGGACGTAACGGCTTTTAATGGTGGTCTAACGTTGATCAGTTCATGATCTCGATTATAACTTAACAATCTCCATAATCCTATACTGGTGTATATGTAAATAATAATTTGAACTACTTCTATATTACGTTAACTTTTCAATAAAGAAGAATGAACAACCGAAAAAAATTTAATTAATGCCTATTAGAAGGTAAACGGTTTATTATGTCTTATTCTTATAAAAATGTTGTAACTTTACATTGTTGACATAAAAATAGGATCAAATGGTTACCTTGAAATTTTATTTAATCTATAATAGAGAACAATCACAATAAAAATAAATATCCAGGTACTGATTTGGTTCTGATTGAAGGAGTTATATATTACTTAAAAGTACTTAAGAGTACTGTTTGCTATTTTGGAAAAAGGTTTAGTCAAATAATTAAGAAATTTATCCTTTTAGGAATTATTGTTAATATCTAAATTTTTTTCATAATAATCAGGATCATAGTTGACAAAAGAAGCATAGCAACAAACTGTTTTTGTAATTCATTTTAATCTTTCATATCTGAAGATTTTGGTTAGTGTTATATCCTGTGTAATGTTTTTTTTCTTTAAATATTTGTATTAATCCTATTTCATTATTGGATAGGGGTCCTAATTTAAGCTAATATGTCTATCCTGTGCCTCACTCATTTCTAATGGTTCATTAACTTCAACTGGTCCATAACAAAAACTGTCTAAACTATTTTTTTTCTTTTTGGTTTATATTACGAACCTACCTTATACAATTATTGGGAACCAGGTGATACTAGACAATTATTTCGTCCTCGTTTCGGGGATTATACCACAAAAAGATCAAGTTTTAGAAAATCAGTTTAGGTAATTTTTATTATAGAATGAAAGATTACAACACTATATTGTGTAGATTCTTATAAGTCAAGTGTTATACTATACAAATTTTCTATTAATGAAAGGATACAAATGATGATAATAATTCAAGATTAACATATAACTGAACTATCTATATAACATGTGAATAATATGTGAATAACATTTTTAAACCTTAATCTTTCCGATTATTGCTTACGCTCTTACTACCTGAACTACAATGGGATTTGAATCGACAACTGCATCACTGTGCTAATGTGGTATGGCAACTCGAAATGATGTATGTACGTACGAAGTTGTACGTTATTACTGACTGACTGACTGAATGATGTTTTCATATACAATCTTTTTTTTATATTTTACCACCACTGAATTAACGACTTCTATAAATCTGGTGTTCATCTTGCTGTGCTAATGAAATATGACAATTTAGACCAATGCATATATATGTTCCTGATCCTACATTCTAGCTGACTTACTAACTGACTGATTGGCATTGAGAAACAATAAAATATAAGAGCTGTTTATAAATAATGGAATAGTAATTGTATCTATGACCTTTTGTATGAACTTCATTACATCAAATATATCTATATCTTGATTCAATAGTTTTATATCTGAATCTGACCTATTTAAAATAAATTTATTTTATGCGGCAATATTTCTTAGTTAAAACAAAGAATTGAACAATGATATATATCTTAAATGGCCTATTTCATATCTTATTATTCTTTTCTTTATTCAGTTTATCTAGATATGTTTAAACTAAATGGAATATTAACTAACTTGTTGATCAATCAAATGATTTCCTCTTTTTGTTTTGTTTTGTTTTTGTTTCTGTTAGTGACTTTTATTATCACTATGGTTGTTTGTTTGTTTAATTTAATTTAATTTATTTAGTCCTATCAGATGCTACTGGAGATTTGGGCTGTTTTGGTTTTATTCTATTGGGGTTATCCTACTTGTTGGTAATTGTAACATTTCCCCTTTCATTATGCTTTACTACTCGGGTAAGTCAACGTTTACATAATATTATTAATTGAGTAAAGATATTCTAGGTTTAATGCATTTATGTTATTGTTAAGTGAGATTATGAATTTCCTGCCAGGTTGTTAGATTCATTTAACGTGATCTGTGTGTCTTATTCTCAAGGGTTTCTAATCAAAACAAAGTAGATATTCAATGTTTTTTTTGTTTTTATACACATTATGGTTACCAGTGATGATATCTATAAAAATGTATAAACTTCTAATTCTCTTTTGTACATAATTTTGATTGTTCACTGGATAAACTAAAGTCACGTAAACAACACGAAGTGAATTCAAAATTCACCCCATTGCACAATGAAGTGGCTATCAGGACTTGGTGACTAAGTGGATAAAGTGACGCCGTTTGAAGCGAAATTACAACGTTCAAATTCCATAGTGAACATCAACTTCAAGATGCAGATACATTCAGATGACGAGTCCCGAATAGGACGAAACGCATATTTTGAATTCCACTGCTAGCCACTATCCCTCTTTGCTTATGAAGTCAAGTTAGTTTTATGTATGAATAAGAAGACGAATAATTTTCAATTAATCACAAGAGACTCAAAAATGAATTTGTCTATTTGATATAGCTTGAAGAATCTCAACTGTTGATTTTATTTACTGATGATGCCGAAAAAACGATAACTTTGTATATATCTATGCCATATAACAGACAAGATAGCTGAACAAATATCCTTCAAACCTTAAGTGCTAAAGCATTTAGTTCCACAAAATAGTTTCGAGTTCTGTTGTTAATATCATAACGTGAAGAGTACCTATATTAAATATTTATAGTTGATAGCATATATAAGATTTCAATGTCCTATGATTCATTTCTTTGAAATCAAACACATTTGATTGAAGTAACCGATTTACTTATCAAGAATGGGTTACTCAACAGATTTATGATTTCAATATTTGAGATCAATTGAAGGTAGACCAGCATAAATAACCCGGAAGCACTGAACGGCCGTCCCGTCCTAGCATGGAACTGCTCAGCAGTGCTCATTATTTTCATGGGGAAGTATATTGTAGAAAAGTTTTCATAAATTTTACTTTAAATATAACAAAACGTCTTTTTAATGTCATATTCCCAATAATTTTCTAAACTCATTTATTGTGTTAAACACTATATTCTATTGTAAAACAATGTTAATAAATGATAATTACATTTTGTTTTCTTTTATGACCAATTCAATTCAACTTCAAAATGGCTTTCATGTCTAATAACTTGAAGGTATAAGGCTAAATAAAAAGTAAACTCGTGAATACTTAGTTCTATACAAAAAAACACAACAATAGTTATCTAATATTTCCTAGTTATCTAACCATAATCTGTTTATATGATAAAAGCGAATAGTTCATACTGTAGTTCAATTGTAATTCATATATTTTTTGCATAGTATTAAACTATTCCATCTTTAATAAACACCTAGTTCTTTTAGAACATTTGATCAGTATCTTATGCTAAACAACCATAACATTTTATCATCATTTATTATTTAATCAATATGAACGGAATCAAAATATTTCTTTATAAAAATATTAGATTAGTGAAAATATGCTAGATTTGAAGCGGTTACGAGTTGACTTAGACTACAAAGGGAACAAACACTCAGTGACCAAAAATCAATAAGCTAACTATTTGATGCGTCCCGGTCCCGCTAACTAGAGGGAGAAGTCCAAGCTTGGAATGGGAAAGTATATTCTGCAAACAATCGGAAAAGAGCGGTAACAACAAATACAAATCAAAACGTATATATACAGCACAAAACCATCCTTGGGGATAGTTAGCAAATAGCATACTGAAAGACGCAACGGACCAATAGCATTTAAGATATCTCCCAACTGGGAACTACGACATGAAGGTGAAAAAAGCATGGTTAGCGCGAAAATAAAGAAATTCAAATTTTCAGAATAAAGTTATAAACTTAGGTCCATTTTCAAGTGAGTTCTGGGGATCTAACTTCCCAAAAATTTAAACATAAAGATACTTATTCCTTAGCTTTGATTGATATCTAATTATCTTAATTCAATTTATAATTCAGGTTATTGCTGAATATGAACGAGCCGTTATATTTCGTTTGGGTCGAATACTTCCGGGTGGTGCTAAAGGTCCAGGTTTATTTTTTGTTGTACCATGTATGGATCGTATGCGTAAAGTGGATTTAAGAACAGTCACATTTGATGTTCCACCACAAGAAGTGAGATCTATTTATATTTTACATTTTAAATTACTGAATTTCTTTGATACATTTTTAATTTTTTCACTTTATATATTTTGTTCAGTTAAATAAACAAAATCATATACTGGTGTAAGTTGGACCACTACTAAAGGTCTGATAGCACTAGATGACTACTTCGTCCCAGTATATGTCCCCTGAAATTCAGTAATCAGCACAACTTCATGGTGAAAACACAACGATGAATATCTATTTCGGTCCAGTTTGAAACTACTAAATAAGAAAACATTCAGAACTCACCGTAGTCAATGTTTGTAAGATTTTGATAGCCCATTTCATTTTCCTCTGGTTAAACAATATTGTTTCTAAATTTAGGAAAATGAACATATTATTAATCTTTTCTACTATATAGATACTAGATTTGGTAATTATTCCTAAGTGAATGTAATATCTCGCGGAGTGCGGGATCGTAGATGCGCACTGTTGAGAAGTGCCATAATAGGACGAAACGGCCGTCCAGTGCTTCAGGTTTTCTATGGTGGTCTAGCTTCAACTGACTCATGGTTTCGTTCAAAGACTTAACAATCTCTACAACCCCTAAACTGAAAATATTTATCTGACAGTCAAGATTAAAGAGTTCAATTTCATTCGTAGGCTATTTCAGTTGACATTGTTGTATAGATGAAATATCAACCAATACAATACCGATATTTTCATTCTTCATTGAACAAAACATATTCCACTGAATGACTTTTTCTTAGTAGAAGCTAATTTTATATTAACTAGTCTTTATTGTTTTGATGTTTACTTCCATTGTTAATGAATTTTTATCAAATGTTTTAAGAATATATTAATACTTATTACATCAAAGAGTGAACATTAATACTTTAATAGTTGAGTTCATGAGTCAATTGAATCGAGACCACAATTGCTAACCTGGAAGCACTGGACAACCGGATCTGTTATGATATATGTAACTCACTGAAGATAATAGTAGACGCTATCTGAATTTTGCGGATTAGTTGAAGTTGAACATTAACACCGTTGGATGTGGCGAATCGAAGGTCTAGTGTTCACATGCGAGACCAATCCTGCATTCAAAATCCCATGGGATCATCACTGCTAAGAAGTCTCAAAATAGGATGAAATGGCCATCCAATGCTTCAATCGATTCATATATTCAACTATTAAAATTATTATATCTACAAAAACTCCATTTCTTCTATAAATACTTTAAGTATTAAATGATACAGATTTAGAAATATATGCTAAATTAATTTTAGATTATTTGATTAGTTATAGGTGATTGTTTTAATTAACCAATTGAATATTTAACTAAAATTATATAATTCTCAGTTTAGGGGTTGTGAATATTATTAAGTTTTTTTGGATTGAGATCATGAACCGATTGATGTTAGACCAGTATTGAAAATCTGGAAGCACTGAACGGCAATTTCGTCTTAATTCTAATTGAATGGACAAATTTAAAGAAATCAATAGAATTGTATTTATTGATATGATTTTTAACAGGTTTTAAAATATCAACTATCCATTTAGAGATCAAGTGATAAGAAGAGTTGTTCATATGAAGTATAGGAGATGATCATTTGGGAGTCCATATAATTTTAGTATAACGGAACCTGATGGTTTGAGATATTCATAAAGGTCACAATGGATAGAAGATTCATATTTCATTTTGTTTAGGATTTTAATTAGGATTTGTTCAGTTTTATCAGTAATATCTTTTTGAACAATTTCTTTTAAGAATCTGACAGGATCAGATATAATATCGATGATATTTTATTGATATAGCTAAGGTGATCCATAAAGACAATTCTTTCATCCTCATCTAGATAACATAATACTAAGTCTTGATTTCTCCGAGACTATGTAGTGACCTACTTTTGTCAAGAGAATGTGATTGGTTTAATGGAAACAATTATTTTTATAACCATTTATACCAGGGATTGTTTCACTGTACTTGTTTGTTTAATTGTACCAAAACACATACATTCTTCCTCCCGTTGATTGTGACCTTTCACGAATTTGGTTACGCTCAGTAACCACACTTGTACTCCTTTGGCACGATCTCGGTATTATTTTGATACCACGAGATCGCCAACAAATACATCTCGATTACAGCCATCATCTGCCTTCTGATATTTAGCCTACGGGGGATGTTATCAGTTAACTGGCACGTAGTCTTCTTGTAGTAGTGATCATAGTCAAACGCGATTTGACGCCACACTACAACTATATGGACTCCATAAAGTTCATAAGCATAATATCCTTCTATGTTCTATATTTGATATGAGCAACTCTTCTTATCACTTAAAATGATATAAATTAATTTTTTGTTTTGTTGTTGTTAAATGAATAAATTTTAATTAAAAATTTTTATTTAATAAAAATATTTAATTTTAAAAATGGGAAATTCACTTGTTGATCAATAAAATTTTTTAAACTTAGTAATAAGATTACAACAAAAAAAACAATGAATAAACAACAACAATAACAAACAAACATCAACATCAATTTCTATGATCCATTATTAATGAATAAATGAATTTGATTTTGATCTGGATCAAATTCATTCTGTTATTAAAATATTAAATAAATTCATTTTAATGATGTTTATTGTCATTATGGATTCATTATTTTAAAGTAAAAAAGAAAAGATAAAAGAAATTCAAAAAAAAATTTTTTCTTTCTTTATTGATTTCTTTTCATTAATTATTGTTTTTGTTTTTTTTATCATTTCAATATGATTTATTCTTTTGATTGTCTATTCTAATTTATATTTAAAAATAATTTTTAAAAAAAAGAGATAAAAGAGAAAGAAGAATAAAAAGATAAAGGAAAATTAAACAAAAGAAATATATATAGAACAAGAATAATTTGTAACCAAACGAATGTGTTATCATTTATGGACATATTTTTATGAATATCATTATTATTACTATTATTACTGGTAATATTATTATTACTATTACTATGATTATCATTACTATCATTACTATACTACTATTATTATTATTATTACCATCACTAATGCTATTATTATTACTACTATTAGTGTTATTATGAACATTAGTGTTAGTATTACCATTATCACTATGATTAGTATTATTACTATAGTAGTAAAGAGAACACGAGTGAGGACAATTGAATGTATTTAGCACAAAATTACAAGACTTGTTAATAAAATTTAACAATCATAAAGTAAATGCTTAATTTGCAAAATGTCCATCAATTGTCTCAAAAATGACTCAGACTTCATTGTTCTTGCATTTTCATACAAATTGAATTCTGTTTACATTCATTACTGTTCGATCCTCTTGTCACTCTGATGCGAGAATTTCTGTTCACGACTAACATCATATACTATTTATGTTAATATAAGTAGCACACACCACACTATTACTATGATGATGATGATGATTGTAATCATGAGTCAGTTGAAGCTAGACCACCATTGAAAACCTGGAAGCGCTGGACGGCCGTTTCGTCCTGGTATGTGACTCCTCAGCAGTGCGCATCCACGATCCCGCACCACGCAGGGCTCGAACCCAGGACCTGCTGGCTTCGCGTGCGAGCACTTAACCACTAGACCACTGAGCCGGCATCCAACGGTGTTAATGTCTAGCTTCAACCAATCCACGAAGTCGCGCCAGCGTACACCATTGTCTTCAGTGAGCTGATATCTCACAACAGACCTGGTTGAACTCCACTGGTAACGGCTTCTCACTAGAACTTCAGGAGTTTTTCGTGAAGTCAGTCACTAGTGAGTAGTTGATTATTATCAGAATGGGTTTCGTGGAGATTTTAGAAATTTCACAGATTGAAATTCCGCATGGTGCGGGATCGTGGATGCGCACTTCTGAGGAGTCCCATACTAGGACGTGACGGCCGTCCAGTGCTTTCAGGTTTTCAATGGTGGTCTAGCTTCAACTGACTCATGATTTCAATCTGTGAAATTTCTAAAATCTCCACAAAACCCATTCTGATGATGATGATTGTGCTATATATTTTCATATTTTTGACGTAGAATAAATGGTTAGAAACGTTTAGTTCATGCAAAATTTAACCCTTAAAATAATGTTATTTAAAAAAAATTAAATTGTTCTAATATTCTCTTTTATTTTTCCTTTCAACATGAATGATTGTTTATCTTCTTTTCTTTCGTTTTCTTTTTCAACTATAAATAGGGTATTTAATTGTCCTTCCTTTTCTCTTCTTTTTCTTTCCTCTTTTTTTGTCATTCTTACTTAATCAGGATGTTTAGAACTTTACATTATTATTCATTATTTATAATCTATATCAATGATTTAATGATTATATTAAAGATTGTTTAAACTATTTATCATTGTTGTACTCAATAACCACCACCACCATCACAACAACAACAACAATATCCTCAACAATAACAAAAGATCTTTTGTAGATTATCTTAGATGATAACATGATGTATAGAGATATTTCATAATATGTATATGATTGTTTTACATTCCTATGTGTGTATGTATGTTTAAATCTTGAACAATATTTTGAATACAATTCATTCTTGTTGTATGTATTTCATTGTAGATTATATGATTAATTGTTATTAAGTAATGATAATAAACTGTTATTATTCTATACTAATGATTAGCATAATATACATGTTCTGTAAATCATTTAAACATTCTAATCAATCATTACATTGTTATACCAAACAGAAATAGAAGTAGTGACCAGTGGAGTTCAACCAGGTCTGTTGTGAGATATCAGACAATGGTGTACGCTGGCGCGACTTCGTGGATTGGTTGAAGCTAGACATTAACACTGTTGGATGCCGGCCAACTCGGTGTTCTAGACGTAAAAGCGCTCGCGCACGAGCCGATAGGTCCCAAATCGAATCTCGCGGGGCGAGATCGTGGATGCGCACTGCTGAGGAGTCCCACAATAGGACGAAACGGCCGTCCAGCGGTTCCAGGATTTCCATGGTGGTCTAGCTTCAACGGACTCATGATCTTAACCAT